ACACACACACACACACACACACACCCACACACACACACACACACACACACACACACACGCACGCACGCACACACACATGCACACGATAGGCCCACACACACACAGACATAACAGAGGCAACCACTCCTCTCCTCACACAGTTTGCACAGTTAAATCAAACTGATTTGCTACCATTGTGAGAGGATATTAGCATAACAAGGATGGGATCAAATGAGGTAGTTACAGCTTGAATCATAAATTGCAGACTGAGCAAACGTGTGGCTGCAAATGAATTGTAGTTCACATCAGTATTCATGAAAAGACAAAAATAAGCTTCAAAATGGATTGTTTTTTTTTTTCCACTCAGTCAGTTCTGTTTGAAATTACGGTTTTGCCATTTTTGTTGTATCTTCAAATGACTACTGACAACTTCTAATTAACTTTGGAAACAAAGAAGTTATAATATTAATTTTGTGACATTGTTTACATGTCAAATACGCAACTCAAAAAGTATTAGATTTTTTACAAGTCTATAAATGCTAAAGAATTCAAGTGCTTCTTCCATATGTCTCCATACTGCTCTATTGACATTTGTACTTTAAATGTAAATGAATGAATTCCTCAGATTAGCAATACAATTGAAAATGCTCATTATGTGCGGGTTTTATGAATGCTTAAATGCAAAGTAATGAAACTATGATCAAGCTGAAAAATGTGTTGTTTATACTATAGTCACATGAAAGCAAACTCAATGCCAATCAAAGAGGATATTTAAAAAAGATTTTCAGTATCAGTAAATATTGCTTGTTATACCTATTGTTCATTTTTCCGGTCAACAATGTGTCCACAATGTACAGAAGTGAACAGAGAGTACAAGTTTCCCTCATGTTCATCTATGCAAAATGACAATGCTATTAAAAATGGAACAAATACCAAACAACTTGTTAAAACTATTGATTTAGCAAACTCTCATGTGCTCAAAAAGTAGACACAAATAAATGTGTTGGTACCCTTGTGATACTAATCAAAACACAACTGATTTAACTCGACAAAAAAATTCAGTTTTCTCTTATCAGCAAAAAACTCTATGTTGTTTCATTTGTATGAGAACACAGCTGAAGAATATGACATGAAAGATGACCTAAAATGAGGTCTTATTTTGACATAGCTCGGAGGAATATGTATGATAACATAGGGTAATGAAATATGTACTTACCAAAGTAAAAAGGAAACCAAAGAAACCTATATCACTGTGTGTGTGTGTGTGAGGGTGTGTGTGTAAAGATGTATATAGTTTTGTGCTTTTGAAGCATTTACTTGCTGTTGTTTGCCCACTGTGGATTCCATTTTAATCAGTGAGTTTTACAGTCAGATTTGTCAGTGAATTAAATGTGCTAATACTAATTGTTGTCACGTTAAGTGTATGCATATGATTGCCAGATGTTTGATAGGTGCTAACGTGGAGTTGGATCAGAATAGATAAAAAAAAGTGTTTGTCTTTGTTTGGGTGTGCGTGTGAGAGGGATTGCTTTAATGAAACTTATAGAAGTAGGCATGGATTATCTCTTAGAGCCAACCCAAGATGTTCACCACAGATCATTGAGATTAGCCAAAAAAGAAATGACCGTAACTCAGTTTTATTAATACTGAGCTAAAATGGAATATGGTGGTAGTGGAGGCTCAATCACAACACATTCATACATCTTGTGATATTGCATGAGATCATATATAACATTATTTTTAGAGATGGGATAAATGACTCTTTGAAGGGATCTGTATCTTTGTTTCAAAAGAGCTGTTCGATTTTAAACAGGTAACCTCATCTCATTGGGAGATTCGTCATCATGTAAGCGATACGCGTTGATGTCATCAAGTTACGGGGGTGGGTCAGTGTGTTTTGTTCTCCTCCCGAGCTGCTGTACTCCACAGCTGTGCCTGTTTTCTGTGAAAAAAGCAAAGCAGGAGCAATTGTCTCTGCAGTTAAAGATATAAAAATAAAGATATTTTGAAGAAAAAAAAAAACTACAAACGGATCTTTACCACGACTCAGTTCCTATCGTTAGTTTTAAGGATCTGAACATTTGGAATGTCCATGAAAGTCACACTTCTAAATATTTTTCAAGGTTTGACTAAAAGGGCTAGAACTTTGGCTGTTGGATGATCCTAAAATGTTTAAAATTATGGCATGGAAGGGGTTGGGAGATTCCTTCAAGGACTGCTCAAATTTGCCTGAGTTTTGTAAAAAAAAAAAAAAAAACTGTAAAACTTTTGAATTTTGTAAATTTTTTGAGCAAATAATTATATTTGTACCTTTTAAAAATAAAATATATGAGATGAAAATCATGTTTGTGGCCAACCAACATTAAAAAAAAATTTATGTTCAGAAATTATAGACCTTTCCATGAATGGAATCTCTCAAAATCTAATCAAATTAATTATATATCTCAGTCGTTGTGTCCTTGGGCAAGACACTTCACCCACCTTGCCTACTGATGGTGGTCAGAGGGTCCGGTGGGCGCCGGTGCATGGCAGCCCCACCTCTGTCAGTGCGCCCCAGGGCAGCTGTGGCTACAGTGTAGTTTGCCATCATCAGTGTGTGAATGTGAGTGCGAATGGGTGAATGTCTGTTAGTGTAAAGCGCTTTGGGGTCCGGAGGGACTTGAAAAGCGCTCTATAAGTTCAGTACCATTTACCATTTACCATTTACCATTTACCATATTCCTGAAGTTTGACTGCATGTTGATACTTGATGTACTGATCAATAAAGTAAACATGATTTTTGTCAGTACTGTATATAGCTTCTGTAAACTTGTTTAACATAGGATTTATCAAGAGTTACATGTTTTAATCTATTAATTAAATCTTGTTAGATTATTTTATTTCATGAACAAGTGGCTTGTTATTTCACTCAACTCTGATCTATCAATAAGAACAGCAAGAAGAGTAAGTGTAATACAAAACCATATATCATGAAGTATTTTTTTAGAATATTATCTTGAATAAAACTGAAGCCTGGATGTTTTAAATAAAAATTACCAGGCTGGGTGAAGTGGAACAAGATTAAATTGTTTCCTTGCACCTGCTTGCATGAGTGGAGGTTCAAAAAATGCAAATTGCGGTGAAGTACACTTTTTCCCCTTTACAAATCACACAAAGGTTCATGCACATACACACCTGGAGATTCCATCAGGAGAGAAAAAGTGTCTGTTGATAACTTGCATAATAAGCAAATCAATATCAAACGGTTTATGCCATATTTCTGTGTGACATTTTACTCAATAAATATTCCTATTTCTGGATTTAGAAGGCTTAACCTTCCTAGGGAAAATGATGCTGTTGAGAAATGCATTCCAACTTTCAGTCCTGGCTGATGCCTCAAACAATTCCAATATTACCTAATAAAAAAAAACTGGAACCCAAAACAAAAAAGCTGGTCCTAATCAGAAAAGCCTGGGTTATTCATTCTGCTCCATGACTAGTTGTGATGTTTCACTGAATGTAATTAAACTTGAGCCTGTAAGGATAAAAGGTAAGCTTTTTTAATAAGTTCTGAATGTAATGAGTAAAAAGAAAAGGCAAATAATAAAATACATACAAGTGTGTCCCATTTATTGCAATGGAAATTGTATTAGATTTATTTAACTGGGGACCACATTGGAGAATATGATTAAAGCATAAAAGAAAAAAAATGGTTAAGTGACAGAAAATTAAATGAATGAGAGAAGTGTAACAAGTAAAACTGTAATTACCTGAGCATTGATGGAAAGGTTGTCAAAACCAACTTAACTGGGCTCCAGCTGCAAGTTAAAACACACAATCAGACTTGCTAATTGTTGTGCTAGCTAAAATTTACAAAATACGTCAATATAAGTTATTTTTTGTTTTGTTTCGTTTTTTGCGCTTTATACTTTCAATTTACCAACTTGACAGAGACAGTACAGCAACTAAACAGAATACCAATACATTTTCAGAAATTTAAACTTTTCTTGCTCAAGGCAGCCATGATGGAATTTCAGAATCAGAGCTTGAAACTGTTTTCCAAGTCATAAGTCTGACTTTAAGGGTTTTTACACTGTCACACACACACACACACACACACACACACACACACACACACACACACACACACACACAC